TAGAAAACAATTTCCATTTTTATTAGGGGTGTAAATTTCAATTGCATTATAACAAGGCGCAACATTTGCCAAGTGTTGGTCGAAAGATTTCTTTCCAACTTTGTTTTCTTCAATTTTGTAGTAGCTTTGATCCGATTCAATATTCTCTACAATACTATCTTTTCTCCAGATAGATATTCTCTGGTGCACAGTGGATGATACTACACCTATTTCATGAATCCATTCATAGTCTTATAATTTGCCTTGTAATTTATCACAATGAATAATGTAGACCTGGTAATTGTGCCAACAACCAACTCTACCTGGATGACTCCTAGTATATTGTTGGTTTTTCCTTCATAATTGGATAAAACCATATTGTGTGGTCGAAGACCAGTACCACATTTTCCCAGCTTCTTGAACAAAGTATGAGGAATCAAGTTAACAATTTCCCCTCCATCTAAAAACACCTAGTTCCCTGGTATTCCATCTAATTTTACCCTTATGAACAATGGTTTAAGATGGTGCATCATTCATGGGCTTAGTTTCTCAAAAAAACTTTTTGCTCTTCCACCTCACCACTGTTCATGACATAATAGCATAATGGTTTCTAACAAGATGTTTCGCCTGGAAGGAAATCTTCACCAGCTTTAGAAACCTCTGACACTCGATCATACTCAATAGGTAAAACGAACACAATGCCACAATTAATGACAAAATCTTCACCAAAATTATCGTCAACCATTTCATCCTCTAGGAGGGGATCATATTCAAGATCTTCTTCCTCGGAAAGGGGAGTATACTCTGTATTCTGTGTCGATACTATCTCCTTTTCTCTTAAAGGATCTACCCTCATGGCCAACCTCTGGTTTTCTATGACTTTTTCTTTTTCATTCAACTTTCCTTTTGGATAGTACTTCTTATGTCCATGATTTTCTACAAATTTCAATTGTACTGTCAATGCCTCTTATGTCAATTCCTCAATTGTGTCCTAGTCATAGGATTTTCCCCTTGTAATTAGGAGAAGCATCATACCCTTTTTATTCAACTCATTTCTCTATAACTTTCACCTTTGTTTCTTGACCAAGTACCTTCTATTTAGGCCTATTTCCCCCTTTCTGATTCACAAGCTCCACCCACTTTTCTCGTGGGGTGTCTGAAGGAGGACAAAAAGGCTTTGGTCGAGGTTGTTGGAAGTGCCTCTTGTATTCCTCATTGCATTGAGGGATTCCCCTATTATCGTACACAAATCTTAGAACTGAGGATTTCTCTCCCTTAGGACCATTCTTTTTCACAACCTCACACTCCTCAACAACCTTCTCATCATAAACATCATTACACCTTGGGCATAATTTGCCCTTCGATTCCTTCACTCTGCACTTTTCCAGAAAGTCAATAAAATCTTTATTAACTTGAGGATAAACTGCTCGTAATCCATCTTCAGCTTCCCCGTTGAAACCATCAATAGCCTCGACCATCATAACATCCAAAGGCTCCACATACATTTCCTCTTTGACTTCAAAGGGTCAGTGTCCACTCGCATCTTTGGCTTTTCGCTAAATTGAATTCTGCCTTCTTTCAAAAAAATTTGCACTAAATCCCTGAAAAGGACACATTGAGATGTTTTATGACCGAGAAAATTATGAAATTTATAGAATCCCCTTTTTTCTTTTGCTCTAACGGGGACTTTTCAGGCCTTGAGGAACAATGATTTGACTTTTAGTTACCAACAAATCAAATATTTTGTCACACTTAGTTATATCAAAAGTATAAGTTTTTGTTTTGAATTTGTCATTGTTTTCAGTTTTAATGGGATTCTTTTCATTTGACGGTTTCAATACTTTACAAGAGTAAGGAGGTATTGGCTTGAGTTTAGCTACATTAACCTCACTTTCTTCAATTAAATCTTCATAATCTGAAGAATATTCGTCAGCTGCTACGTAAACAACCTTTTCTTTTTTATGATATTTACTATTCCTGGCTTTTCAGCTTTCAATCGTTCGATCTGGAGAACTCTATCAGCCAATTGCGCCATATCTCTAAGATATTAAGTATCTAACTTTTTCCTGATAGAATAGTCTAAGCCCCCTGCAACCATTTCGACTAATTCATATTCAGAGACTTGAGTAAAAAAACTTGCATTCGACATCCTAAACCTTTTAAGATACTCGTGAATTGACTCAACAACCTTTCATTTGACACTATATAATTCCTTCAAACTTATCTTCGACTGTCCCATGTAAGATTGCTCATAGTACAACTTCTCCACCTGGGTCCGCGTATGGACAAAATGTGGAGGTAGCATTGTAAATCTGGTGAACACATTTTTTATGAAGGAACTTGGGAAATGTTTCATTTTTAAACCCTCATTATTTGCTATGTCAGCAGCCTCAGTTTGATACCTACCAACATGTTCGACGGTGGATTCATTCGTGTCCCCAGAAAACTTAGTAAACTTTGGAACTTTCCATCCCCTGGGTAACTCAGTTTGTAAAACAAAATCTGGTAATGGAGAAGATTAAGTAGGCCTTTAAATCCAAATATTCATACCATTTCGAACCATAATTCGTCCAACAATAAATTTTGTTCTCTAGCCAATGTGTCTTGTCGTATTTGTCTGACTATATGGTCGACATTCTGGTTTCTATTAACTACCACAAGGTGAGGACGTTCCACCATTCTAGATATATGTTCGACACCCTAAGGAATTTCCTGCTCTTGGTCGATAGTCTTTTCGACCACTTATTCAAGTTGAACGTGTACATCTGGTTGGGGTTGTACAACCGATCGAAATGGAACCCTAGGGGCACCAAGGGAATCACCTATTCGAGTCATTTGAGTTGCCAATTATTGGTAAATCTGAGTAGAACTCTGGATTAATGGTCTAAGTATGGTACTCATTTGTTGATTAAGCATGTTGACCATTTCATGATTGCTTTCGTCAATCTGTTGCCTCATAATAGCAACCCAACTTGTAGTGAAAATCGAGATTGCTTGGGACAAAAATCATATTCTCGTGGGACGACCAAATTGGTTTCTCATAGGTCCTGGTCCAGGATAAGGTGAGAACGTTGATGTTGTATTTTTAGCAAATGTCGAAACATTATTATGTAAACCTGTCATCATCGATGTTGGCATTCCATAGATTCGTTCTCTATCATACATGTGCATTGTGAAACTGGGCATATACGGCCCAGACACACTCGCCCCAGTCGATCTAGGATTCATAGGCTGACTCTGCAAAATTATTGGCCCACTATGGGTAATTGAAGATATAGCTACAATGCTTGATATGGATACACCAATATCAGAAGATTGTGAAGCAACTGTGCTCCCCCCTGAGGGTTGTTCCCCATTTGGATTAATGTTTTTAGGATCTATCATTTTCCTACCACTCCTCAATTTCATTCACACTCAGTGTTGAGAAATTGTATATGAAGAACATGCACAAACTATGAAAATCTATAAACTTAAAACAACGGGTCCTACCAGGTGTACCAATTTGTTTACACAGATTTTCTGATAAATAATATCTAGACTCTTGTTAAAGTTGGCTTGTAGGATCGGCTACAAAATCCTAGAACAATGCTAAGTTTTAAAATGGTTTTTGTGTTTGGATTTGGTATAAAATTAGACAAAGGTAAAGAAATGCATGTAAAATAAAGAAAATTTTGGAAAATATAGTGCAATATCAAATCTAAAAGGTAAATTACTTTGAATTTAAATTAGAACGCACACATACATTTTCGGAAGTCACTGTTTTCTCTCTGACGCAGATACTTTGAGTTTTCCCTTGCAACGTTACAAAATGCGACCCCCTAAAACTGAATGTAAACTCTACTTATATAGACATTTAAGCATAACTGCCATGTAACTTTCGACTAATCCCAGCTTGTCACGTATCATATCCATGTAACTTTCTTTGATAACTTTCTCCATGTTTCTAACAATTGCTTGCAAAACTCGCTTGCATAAAAACTCTCTCTTTCAACTGCCTGCTTCTCCGACTAACTTAAACAATTGAATATGAAATTTGGCTAAGTCTCCAATAGTGTTTCTAAAGATTTCGACCAACACGTATTATAATCGTCCCAGACAGAGCTCTTCGACAATTCTAATTTCGACCAACATTTCTTTCTTCAACTTTTTGACTTCAAAACTCTTGCAACTTCTAGTCGAAAAATCCCAGCTAACAAATACATACTATTAATCATATTCAGACACTAAATTATAAATGTATTAACAAACTTTTACACTCCATTAACCAACTTTATTTTACTATTTAATATATATATATATATATATATATATATATATATATATATATATATATATATATATATATATATATATATATATATATATATATATATATATATATATATATATATATTTTTATGTTTGAAAGCTCATTAACCAAATTATGAATTGTATTAACCAACTTTATACATAATATTAACCACAATTAATTTATTACGTAAGATTTAATATTTGATGCTAAAATACTCGAAAATAAACTATGAATAATATTAACCAATTTAAAACATCCAATTAACCAACTTTACTTTATAACTTAAAATTATTTTTTAATGTCAAAATATATATTATCCAAACTCTAAAGTCTATTAATCAAATTTTAATATTTTATTAACTAAAATAATTTTAAAGAAAAAATAAAAAAATAAATTTTTAAATAAAATACTATATTTCTATTTAGCACGAATCGTGCTGCGCAATGCTCGTGGTATTACAGTAGGGCACAATAAGAAACGGAGCGTATATTAGGCTCTTCATTCTTCAACAAACCTTCGTTTGTTCATCACTTCCCGAGGGTTTGATTTTTCATTCTCACCATTCCTCTACATCACTTTCCCGCGAAATTCCATTCACAATCGTTAACCATCTCTTTCGCATTCCCACTTTAATTCCATTTCGTTTTCGGTACGAAAAACCATTGAAGTGTTGAATTTAGGGTTTCTTTCCATTTTTTCATCTGTTAACCGCGCTGTTTGCGATCGGAGATGGGGAGCGTAGATTGTTCCGATGTCAGGACGTTCAAGGCCAATTTCACCGTCGAGGGAGTGACGGTTCTGAGGGAAAAATTGAACGAGAAACTGAAGGAGTTGATGGGGAATTACACTGACGAAACACTTGTGGTATGAGTGCGATGACTCTATCTGTTACAATGTGGATTCAAATGTGTTGTTATAATGTTATGTGTTGCATGGATGAGTTTGATTTTGATGCCTTGTTAGGGTAATTTTGATACATTGTGATTAAACTATTAAAGTCGAATATTGTTAATGATAACTACTATTGTGATTGATTGATGGTGACATGAAACTTTACATTGACAATGTATATGAATTGAATCTTCATAGGTTGCATTTTCTATAGGAACTAGTTATGGATCATGAATTTTACTAATTGTTGTAACGGTTTTCTTTCCCTACAGTAACATTATTTGATACATTGTTAGGAGATGATGTTACTACAACCATTATTGTATATGAGTGTAGTTAATAATTCTGCTTTTGATATGTTGTTATAAAAGATTTATGGAGAATACATTATTAAAACATGGAATCATCAAAAATTTATTTTAATTGTTTTTTATACAAAACTTTAGAGATAGGAATTAAGTAAAAACAAGTTGACTTTTATTTAAATGTAAAAACAGGAATGAAATCCTAATATCGAAAAGAAGCTGAATAGGACTTATTGTTCTTTTCTTCTCTAAAATGAATCTTAGAGTTAGTGCTTTTATAGTTGATTGTCTTCTATACTGTTTTAATCTGTATTCTGAATTACCCCCATCCTCATTATAAAATCCCTCTGCTTGAGGAAGTTTATGAGCCCCCTACACTTGAGTGGTACTTTTGAAATGTACCACTCTACGATGCAGTTGGATTCTTGTTTGTGTTTTATTTCAAGGATAAATTTTATAAACCTTGTTCTTCTATACTCATGAAGGAGAAGAATAAATGAACAATACAAACTCTTTTTTTCTTGTAGAACATATCATGTCATATAATCACCACCCTTGTTAGTGTAACAATGAAAATATGGCAACCTAGTTGTGTCAAGTTTTAGCTGAGTAAATAGATGTGTGCACTTTTTAGTTAAAGGTTCTTCATTCTTTTATTTCATTTTTGGTACATGTTAGACTTAGTTGAATGAGTATGACATTTCTCCTGTTCGTTTAATTTTTTACTACTGTATATGTGGTATTTGTTGGCTGGGTAAAGGTAATTTACTGTGGAATATTACAGTTTCCATATGAAAGAATTGGCTTAATTGATGTAAACTATTTGTTATTACAATTGAAAATTGAAGTTCACCTAATGCACTGACAGGATTATGTTGTTGTGTTATTGAGGAATGGTAGGGGCAAAGATCATGCAAAGAATAAATTGAATGTTTTTTTGGGGGAGGACAGTGATTCTTTTGTATCCTGGTAACTTCTGTTTAGCCCTTTTTTGATGGATACCGGTAAATTTGATGTGATTGCTAGCAATGTCGTACTTACAAGTTACAACCATGATATTCTTGTTAACAGGCTGTGGGATCATTTGGCTTTGAATATAGATTTATATGTAGAATCTAAAGGATTGCAGGATGAAGCTCCCAAAAGCAAGCTTATATCAAAGGTCCAAGCCGGAGATGATGGTATTCAGAATTTGAATTCAAAATCAGAAAGAGTAAAGTCTAGAAGTCGCCGTAACAGAGATTGGAAAGGGTTAGTGTGTAGAGAAGCTGAAGCACCACCGCTGCAGAGCTTTGTGGTTGAGAGTATGCATTTAGACAAAATAGTCCAATCTAAAGTCAACCGTGCTACAAGGCCACGACCACCATCTCATGCACCACCTGTTCAGAGGAAAATGGGTTGTGCTTTTGAAGAGCAGAAGACTAAGGTTTGAACCACTAATGATTTCATTCTTAGACATTTTATATCCTAGTTCTTCTAGTAAATTTTCAACACTAATAATGGGTTTATCATGTATGCGAGAAGTGACTTGTTTACGCAACACATTTGGAATAATGTTTGCTTTAATGGTTTTATTTTCACTTGATTTGGACACTGCATCCTTGCATTTTGGACGTGTCTTGAATAAATAAATTAGCCCCCATCACTTATTGTTTATCTGTACTCACGTTCTTTTAGATCCAATGACGAGTGATTAAATTGCATGCTATTTGAATAGAGTTTTAGCTCAGTTCTATTTTCCTTGTTAAATTAACTTCTTTGTCCATTTTTATTATTGTATAAATGAGTAATACATCTTGATTTTATGCTTTCAAGCATCTAGCTTACCAAGTACCTTGGCAGAGGGATTCGGTTTCACAAGTAACTGTTGATGCTCCTCGACGGCTGCTTCAGTTTGCAGTGCGAGATGCAGTGGCTACTTCCAGGCCATCTAATTTGCACCCATCAGTGGAGCCCTCTTTAAAGCGTCTCCGTTCTGTAGTTTCTTCATCCTCGGTTGAGTCATCTATGGTTGAACATCCTCATAGGATGCAGACTATTTCAAGAGTGGCAAACCCCATGGCGGCATTGTTTAAGGCCGTGGAAGAAGCTGCTGAAGATGTTGTAAAGTTAAAATCCTCAGGAAGTGTATTTGATCGGATTAGTTGTGACATGTACCCATCATATGGTAAAATGCAACTTGAAGATAACCAGTATCTGGAGCAAAGCCCATTACTGTACCATGAAGAAAAAGGCTCTGGTGATCATTATGCTGCAAATATGACGATGTTGGAACATGAAACTGGGTTTACTTCCAATTCTTCTTCAGACAATGAAGGGTTTGATGATGTTAATTTCACAGGTAATAAGGTGGGTAGAGTTTCTCAGTTAAGTTCTTCTGGTGGAAAGAGGGGCGAGGATTCACTGATGGTGCACTATAACGTAGCAAAAAATGACAATGATAAAATGCTTCTAAAAAAGAACAGAAACCAGGAGCAATCTGCTGCTGCACCCAACACTTCCAAGATAGTGAACATTTCTGTTAATGTAAATGCTTGGAATCCATCAGTCCCAGCTCAATACCAGAAACCAAGAGAGGTTGCAGAGTTATCTGGTTATAAAACTTTAAACAGTGGAATTGGAGCTCCAAGTTCTGGCCTGAGAATGGTGACTGAGAACGCTAAAAAGCTGAAAATTGAGAATGGAAAAGTGAGTTGTTTTACTTGCATACAGTCTAATGACACTTGGAGTTTCTTTTAGCTCATTTTTGTTGATGCTGTTAGCTTATTGTGTTAACAGGTGAAACCTACTTTGAATTTGCTGAAAGAGACTCAGAAGGCACAACAACTATCAACTCCCGGCACTGGTATGTTCTAAATTTCTTTTGCATCAAATCTTCCTGCTTACACTGGGACTGTGAAAAGAATATGTTTTTGGTGTAGGACATAAATATTACTAACTTTTCTGTTATTTTAGTACTACATAATATATTTGTCATTTCTAAATTATTTATCTAAAGTTGCACCATTTACTTTAGCTTTTATGTTCTCAGGTTCAAGTGCCGCCAGTTGTCCGTTATTTGATGCTGATTCTCGAACCATTTTTGCCAGCAATGTACTAACTCTTACTCCTTTGTTATATGGGTTGGGTAGGCACTTTGGGGTTAGGCATGAATAGAATTTGTTCACTTTCTGAAGTTGCATATGATCTTCTCAGGTTCATTTCGCTGCTACCAAAGATGCCATATGTCAGCATTTTAATAAATTTGGGGAAGTGCTTAAAGCTGTTATAGTTACTGATTCAATAACAGGGCAACCAAAAGGGTAAGAAGTTTCAGATGTTCATGCACATTATATGTTTATGACTATGTTCAAGATTTTTGTATTTCTCTCTATATCAATTCACTTTTTTTGGGAGCAGGGCAGCTTATGTGGAGTTCATGCATAAAGAAGCAGCAGATAATGCATTATCACTGGATGGAACTTCCTTCATGTCACGTATTCTTAAGGTATTGATGTCTGCGTAGTACTTCAGTTATCTGGAGGCTTTCCTCATAATTATTCATGTTTGGTTTTCCTCCACAGTTTGTATCTCTTTAAACTGATTAGATAGTTGAAATATGATACTGATAAGCTTTTCATTGCGTCACTAACCTTTGCTCTTGCATTTGAATGGGTATAAAGCACCTGTATGTTTCAACAATTGGGAAAAGGGTATTAGATATATTGGTCCAGGAGTCAATTCTTACAATTTGTGTCATTCTAACAGGAAGTTATGAAATAAATAGAAAAACTCCCTCAATAAGAAATTGGAAGTTTTTTTAATGGTTTTTGATAGAACTCAGCAAATTAGGTATAAGGATTGTTTATTCTTGAAGGACTCATTGTTCATAATTCTCCTTTTCCAATAAATCATGTTTGACATGTAGGTAAGTTTTCATGAAGGACTCATTGTTCATAATTCTCCTTTTCCAGTAAAACATGTTTGAAATGTTGGTAGAGCATTTGTAAGGCCAATATAATCATCATTCATTGCTGCTTGAATTGTGATGGAGCATCAACAAGGTCAAATGGCATTGCTGAATAATCTGAATGTCCAACATCCTATTTCGGTGATAGCTAGATTTTAAATCCAACTTAGAAAATTATTGGTAATCATGGAGCCAACAGCTAGAATCGGTATTTTGGATTGTTACCTTGTTAAGGGCTTTAAAAATCCACACACATGCCAACTAAAATCTGGACAGTTATCGGTACCAAGGTTGTTAGACTTGAGAGTCTGTCTATGTGGACTTGTGAAGGGTTTATAGACTCGACTCATAAGAGTATGGAAAATAAAATATGACTTTAAAAGAAACCTTTATATGATATATAAATGACATAATATAAAACCAATTGACGTAAAAATTCCAAGTTGAAACTTCATAATAAAGTTATTAATAAAAACTCAATAAAACAAACAAGATTGCAAAGTATGTAGATAAGGTCCGAGTTTCTTCCTCTGAAATGATAAAAAACATTTCTTAATAGTTTTCTCAGATCTGATCCGACCCCACCACAAGACATGAGTCCTAACGTGTGCAAAAATGTAGTTTTACCTACCTCATGTTTCTAATGCAATTTTAAAATTATGTTCATCAGCCACATGTGTTTTATTTTAGCTTATAAATGGTGGTTTGTTTGGATAGTATTCCCCTAGCGAATAACATCAGTGACTGAAATGTTTAATCTTATTACAGGTTGTAAGGAAAAGTACTGCACAACATCAAGATTATGCTCCAGCTGTGCCATGGCCACGTGGAGTTAACGGACCTTCATATCCTTCTGCAAGTTTTCTCAGATCCCCCATTCAAACAGGCATTCCTGGGGCATTTAAACCTAGGCCCCCAATTAAATTTGGTGCCAGGAGCTTGCAATGGAAGCGGGGTGTCCAAGGCACTTCATCTAACAATGTTGCAACTTTGAATAACAGTAGTATTTCTCCACCCGTTTCTCGAGGTCTCACCTATGTCAGAGTAGAATCTAAGCTAAATGGCAGCTTGAGTACCAGGTAGTTTAGTTCAAAATATAGTCGCTGACTATGGTTGTTGCATCAGAGTAGCTTAATGTCTGATGGGCAAAAAACTGAAGAAAACAAACTTATGAATATCAGGAGACACCCGAAGCCTAATTTTTGGAATTTTACTCTCCATGCATCTTGAAGACATTTTAGTATCTAGATATTCAAGTTAGTAAATGAAGTTTAATAATGTCTATTTTTCATCTCTGGTTGTTGAAGCCACAGATGATAAGGACATGAACTTTGTTAGAATGAAGATGAAATTGTTGGGATCATGATATAGTGTAGAAGAGAAGTTTCTGGGTGTTGATACTGACATGGTCTTTTTTGTCGCTGGATAGTCCTGTGTTAAGTTGTAAGTATTGCTAGGGAAAGAGAAATTGGAGGGAAAAAGGAGAAAGGTTACACTACTCGTATTCAACTTCACTGTGTACATAGATACTTTATTCTTTCTATGGTTCCAGTTTGTTCTTGCTTGTGTTATCATATACATTTTCACTTTGTTTTCAGTTTTCACTTATTAGTGCCATCTTTTATGGTTACATTGCTAATCCGAAAATGCGCTCCTCAGATTTTAGAAATGTATCTTTGGATGAGTTATTTTCACATCAAAACATGTTTTAAGTAAGATTCACTCTACTTTTTTCCAAAATTTATTCTGGAAATACATTTTCGATTTTACCTTATATTCATTTACACTAAATCATGCATAAGTGAGCCGCTCTTAAAAAAAAAATTGGAAATATATTTTCAAAATAAACTCGAAAATATATTTTTGGGAAATTTAAAAGTCACCCCTGTCACTTTATATATTCATTTTGTTTCTTCACCTTATTTTTCCAATCCCTTGTTTGGAAAACCATAAGAAGCACACTTTTATATTCAACCATAATCTCTTACTGATACCTTTCCTTTCATTACACACAAACACACACCTCATCTAATGAAAACCACACCCTGAATTATTCATCTATACTACTTTCCAAATTCATAGTATTTTATTTAATTACAAATTATCACTCTCCTTCTAATACAACAACTATTACGCCTTATCCCAGTAGATGAGGTCGGTTACATGAATCAATTTTTGTCATAATATTCTATAAAGGATTAATGTTTTTAATCTAATTTATTAATTTCAAGATCTTTCTTGATAACTTCTCTTATAGTCTTTTTGTGTCTTCTTCTTCAAATTGTTCGTCTTCTCTCCATCTGGTCTACTCTCCTTACTATAGAGTCTACAGATCTTCTCTACATGTCCAAACCACCTAATTCTATTTTCCACTATCTTCTCTACAATAGGCGCTACTCCAACACTCTCTAATAATTTCATTTATAATTTTATCTTGTCGAGTCTTACCACAGATCCACTGCAACATCCTCATCTCCGTTACACCTACTTTATTCTCGTGTTGATTCTTAACCGTTCAACATTCTGTCTCGTACAAAATCGCAGGTTTTACCACAGTCTGATAAAACTTTCCCTTTTAGTTTGAGCGGTACCTTTGCATCACATAAAACACCTGATGCCTTTCTCCATTTCATCCATCCATCTTGAATACAATGATTTACACCCTCTTCTATTTCTCCATCATTATGTATTACGGACTCAAGATATTTAAACTGTGTGACTTGAGGGATAATATGGTCTCCTACTTTCACCTCTAAGTTAGAAACTTTACTTTTTTTGTTGAACTTACATTATATATACTATGACTTACTTCTACTTAGGCGAAAACCATGTGTTCTTAAAGCTCTTCTCCAAGTCTCCAACCTCTCATTTAACTCCTCACTCGAATCTCCAAGGAGGACTATATCATCTGCAAAAAACATGCATCTCGGCGCTATCTCTTAGATTTGTTCCATGAATACATCCAAAATTAAGGTAAAAAGGTAGGGGCTTAGGATTGACCCTTGATGCAAATCAATTGTGATGGAAAAATCGTCTATCTCTCCACTCCGTGTCCTAACACTAGTCGATACCCTTTCATACATATCTTGGATAACTCGAATATATGCAACCCTAACCCCTTTCTTCTCTAGAGATTTCCACAGAATCTCTCTAGGCACTCTATCATACTCCTTCTCCAAGTCAATAAAAATCAAGTTCAAGTCTTGTTGGCCCATTCGATATTGCTCCATCATTTGCCGTAATAGATAAATCGTTTTCATGGTCGATCTTCCCGGTATAAAACTAAATTATTTTCAGTAATTTGAGTCTCTTTTTTAATCTCCGCTCAACCACTCTTTCTCATAATTTTATGATATGACTTATAAGCTTGACTCCCATATAATTTGCACAATTTTGTATATCCCCTTTGTTATTATAGGTAGGAACTAAAGTGTTTCTCCTCCATTCATCCGACATGCGTTTTGACCTCATAATTTTATTAAAGAGTTTGGTGAGCCACTCAATACCTCTATCTCCAAGAATTTTTCACACTTCAATAGGTATGTTGTTTGACTCCACCGCCTTACCGTTACTCATTCTTTTCAAAGCTTCCTTTACCTCCTGTTTCTGAATACGACGATAACAACTATAATTTTGATCCTCTTCTCTTATGTATAGTATGCTAGAGTCATACATATATCCATCATTAAATAAGTTGTGGAAATACGCCTTCCATATATCCTTTATATCTTTTTTCCTGCACTAAGACTTTGCCTTCTTCATCCTTAACACACTTTACTTGATCCAAATCTCTAGTCTTTCTTTCTCTTCCCTTAGCAAGCCTATATATAGATCTTTCTCCCTCCCTGGTTCCTAGAGATTGTTATAGTCCATCAAAAACTTGGTTTCTTGCTTCACTCATCTCCTTTTTGGTTTCATTTTTAGCTATCTTGTACTTTTTCCAAGTTTCAGAATCTCTACACTTATACCACTCTTTAAAACAGTCATTTTTTACTTTAACTTTATTCTGGACACTTTCATTCCATCACCACGATTCTTTACTCCTAGGTCCAAAACCTTTAGATTCACCCAACGTCTCTTTAGTCACTTTTCTAATCTCTTGGGCCATCTTGTTCCACATATCATTTGCACTTCCTTGTGATTGTCCAAACCAACTCTCCCATATATTTTGTTGGAAACTTCCTTATTTCTCGCCCTTTAAATGCCACCATTTGATCCTTGGTGCTACCAAAAGACTTATTCTCTTTGCCCTTTCTTTAATTCTTACATCCATAACCAAAACTCTATGTTGGATAGTCAAGCTCTCTCCCGAGATAACTTTATAGTTCAAACAATACTTCCTATCAAACTTTCTGATAAGAAAGAAATCCATCTGAGAACATGTCCCTCAACTTTTATATGTGATAAGACGTTCATCTCTTTTCCTAAACCATGTATTGGCTATAGAAAGATCTAAAGCCAACGAAAACTCCAAGATGAATTTATCCTCCGCATTCACCCCCCTAGGCCAAGACTCCCATGCTCACTCTCAAAACCTCTTGCCACGTTACCTACATTTCCATTGAGACCCCCTCCTAGGAAAATATTCTCTCCTTGAGATATATTTTAAAGTACCCCTTCTAAATCCTCCCAAAATTTTACTTTAAGGTGTTCTGCTAACCCAACCTGAGGTGCGTACCCACTAATAACATTAAAGGTGTCTTGTCCCACTATAAATTTCAAGGCTATGATTTGATCTCCTACTCTTCTTACATCCACAACATCCTTCTTCAACTCTTTATCCACAATAATCTCCACCTTATTTCTTGATCTAATTTTTCCAGTATACCAAAGCTTAAATTTTGAGTTGTCTAATTCTTTCGCTTTTTCACTTGTCCACTTAATTTCTTGTAGACACTTAAAATTGATCTTCCTCCTAACCATAACATCCATTATTTCCATAAATTTTCCAATAAATGTGCCTATATTCCATGAACCAAAACGAATAAACTTGAAAAAAATGTGGAACCAAAACTCCAGCTCAATGGAGTTATAAACGTGGAAGTAATTCACTTTCTCAATGTAACTATCATTTTTATATTTGAAGAAAAAAACGTGGAAGTAATTCAGTTTTCAATGTAACTAATATATATAAGGTTTCTCTAATTAGGCATAAAAAATACAAGAGTTCCTGCATACTCTCTAAGAGGCTATCTCCAATCTCCAAGCCATAAAATGTTTTTATCTTCTACATCATTCACATTGATAGAGGAACATGTAAAAATAATATCATTCTAAAATGTAGAAAAGACAGGCTTTTTCACCATGAAGAAGCAGAGCGGAAATCAACGGCCTTACCTCCAACAGGTGAGGAAATAACCTGGGCACTATCAACAGAAAATATGTCATACCAAAGGCTAAAGCGTTCGAGATCAAACATGATCTCCCCTTAACCAAAAAGACCAAATTAACTAATAAGAGGTGCATATCCCATTTTAAAATGAGTCAAAAGAGCCAAATCATAGGAAAAAAATATTGATATCATGACTCAACCATGTTTTTTTGTATATGTTTTGTTTTTAATTTCAATTTCGTGTCACTGTTATAAATGTTATGTTAGTTTGAATACTAAACTAATTAAAATAGAGGAATAAAAAAGATTGGTAAGACAAACTTAACCCAAAGGAAAATTAAAATAAAGAAGTGAAAAAAAAAAACAAAAAAAAAGTAAATAAAAAAGTTATACCAAAAAGTGTTATGAAATTTTGTCTATTGCAAGTATTCTTAAACTCTTCATCTTGTTGGAGATTAGACAACTTTAAGGAGAGAAATATATTGTGCCTTCAATTTTGTTTGAGATTTTGGAGAAAAGAAAAGAGAAGGTTTCGACTAAAAATGATTAGAGTAATGTGTATAGATGATTTTTTGTTGTATAAAATAATAATGAATATTTATGATTAATATGTTTTTAATATTTAAATAATTATAACTAGAAAAATCCTCAAAAAGCTTTTAAAACCATCTTCTAATATAATTTAAATTCTTTCATTTTGTGGGAATTTTGAATATTGTATTGAAGGAGGATTTTGAATGATTTAAAACTTTAACTAAAATTTTCAAATCTAATATTTAGTGTTACAATAATTTTAAATTAAAAATATATTTATTATTTTCTAGAAAAAACACTTTTAAGAAAAAATAGAGATTTTTTATTTTTTTATTTTTCTCTCCACTTCTCTCATTCTAAAACTTTTCCACTCATTTCCTCTAAACGCTTAGATAAAACTTTAATATATTTTTGGGAAACTTTAATATATTTTTGTATTCTCCAGGAAAAGTAAACCATAGGAGAGAAGGCAAGTGAGTTCGGGGCGAACACATGGCTAACACCTTTTGTCTCCCAAAATTGAGATTGTAGTCACACACTCATCATAACACACACTTATTACTTGAAACATTCTCCCTTTGAACACATCATTCGCCCCGTCTGAAGTAGTCATGAAAATTTTTGATACTAATCACAGGGGAACTTGCAAACCTTACTCTTTTAAAGTTGAAAATTTTAATAAGTTTTAAACTCAGGGGAAACTTACAAACTTAAC